ACACACACACACACACACACACACACACACACTCACCCGTCAGTAACAGCTGTTGTGTGTGAGTCCGTGCGGTGACTGACAGTACTAGTTATGGTTAAGGTTAGTAGATAGTCACTTGTGAATGTCACTGTGGTTGAGAAGGACAGAGAAGAAATCCAGATAGTAGGTGAGAGAGACAGACGCCAGGATCCAGAAGCAGAGGCTCTCTCATCCACAGCCTCATCAGGACCAGACGCTGCAGGATGACGTCATAACACAACAACAACATCGACATGACATCAACACAGCAGCCTCAGAGACACTGTATCTAAACACAGCTGATGCGACACACAAAGACGAAGTTAAAGCCGCTGATATTTAGTTTGGTGTGTGTGTGTGACTGTGTGTGTGTGTGTGTGTGTGTGTTCTCACTCTGTTCGTCTTCCTCTTCTTGTTCGTTTGTCTTGAATCGTCGCCTCAGGTTCATAAACTCACTGTACTCCGCCGTGATGGCCTGATGACGTCACACTGCAGCGGCGGGGGGATTCGTGACGTCCGAATCGACTCAGAGTCGTTTCACTTCAGCGGTTATAGCGGTTTGCAGTGTTTGCATTTCTGATATTAAACTCACATATAATTAGTTGATGATTACAGAACTAAATGTTTCATTTTTAGTTCAGTCGAAGTTTATTATCTACTCATTTTGCCAAAATTTGACATTTGTGACATGTGACCCTGGAGCACAAAACCAGTCACAAGGGTCACATTTTTTTAAACTGCGATTTATACATCATCAATTGTATAAATCATAATCTTTCCATTGATGTATGGTTTGTTAGGATAGGACAATATTTGGCTGAGATACAACTATTTGAAAATCTGGAATCTGAGGGTGCAAAAAAATCTAAATATTGAGAAAATCATCTTTAAAGTTGTTCAAATGAAGTTCTTAGCAATGCATATTACTAATCAAAAATTAAGTTCTGATATATTTACGGTAGGAAATTTACTAAATATCTTCATGGAACATGATCTTTACTTAATATCCTAATGATTTTTGGCATAAAAGAAAAATGTATAATTTTGACCCATACAATGTATTGTTGGCTATTGCTACAAATATACCCCAGCGACTTAACACTGCTTTTGTGCTGCAGGGACACATATGTGTGCACTTTTAATCATAAACATAATATATTAAGTACATGCATATGTGCATATTTAAAAATGATAAAACAATCACTGCCACTGGGACAAAAGATGTTTTGAGTACATTTGTCCTGGCCTTAGAAATGGAAGTATCTCTGTTAGATGTAAATAACCAATCGTGTGGGTTTTTCATAATCATGAAACAATGCAAATAGAGTGGTGTTGTTAAAGCTGTGTGTGTGTGTGATGAGGACAGATGAAGACTGTAACTCACTGTGCGGGACAATCACCAGTGTTTTACAGCTGGCCTGATGATGATCTGATGATGACTCAAAGCAATCAGTGTTGTGTGTAATCAGTTACTCTCATTTAATTACTTTTCCCTTGAAGAAGTAAAGTAAGGGATTACTATGATTTTTTCTGTAATTTAATTACAGTTACTTCTTATGTAATTTAACTTAATACTGTACAGACTGTAGTTATATACAATACAATAGTGGAAATGTAAAGTCTAACCTTAAAATGCATGCTTTTATCTACCCTTCTCACTTTAAATACTTTGGTGAGTTAATAAGAATATAGGTAACACTTTAGTGTCCAGTTCTCACTATTAACTAGCATGAATATTACTGGCTGTTTTTATTACTCGAAAAACACATATTAATGTCTTATTCTGCAGGACCTTACTCTAAATCCTTAATCCTACCCAACTCTTACACTTAACTACTTTACTGAGCATTAATACGCAGTAATTAGGAGTATATTAAGGCAAAAGTCATAGTTAATAGTTAGTTAATAGTGAGATTTGGACTCTAATCTAAAGAGTGAGCAGAATAATTGATGTATTTACTTGAAAGAATTAAAAGAACCGCTTCATGTCTATCCTCGTATCATTAAGTCGTCGAGGTTGATATAGGATTTAGAAAGTAATTAGTAATAAGTAATTAAATACTTTTTGGAGAGAGTAATTTGTACAGTAATCACACTCTGTTGAAGATGTAATTAGTAACTAGTAATTAATTACTTTTTTAGAGTAACTTACCCAACACTGGGCACAATATACTGTATAATTTGAATACATGTTTCTGTATTTATTTTTTTACAGGTGTTTTACCAGTATTTAGATTTTTACACTTCATTGCATTGAGTTTTAGAGTTAACAGAAATGTCTGTAAAATTATTGGATGCTGTCGTAAACATCCGAAACACACATCTAAGTGTTCATTTTATTGCACTTTATCTGTTTGCGTCTGTAGATTTCAATCTTTAAAGAGTTTTTTCTCTTACAAACACTGAACTTCACAGTTGTATTCCTCTCTGTATTCTGAAGGTTTGTTCATATTTCATTCATTCGCCGAAACATGGTGCAAATGTGTTTGTTTTCTGTCTGTTGACAAGTGTTTTCTGATTTTTTAATTGGCGTAATGTCCTGTGATTCATCAGCTGGGGAAGTTATAACAGTGACCCTTGTGCTTTCTCGCTTTAAACAGGAGTTCAATGATCAGATCATGTCACGATTACAGACGTCAGAGCTTCTGATGCTCCTCAGACCGATGATGGACCTCATTAGTGTCTAGAAGAAACCAGACAGAATCTCCAGAAGGTGAATCCAGTCTCATGGTGTTTCTAGGAGAAGTGGATTCTGTTAAACTATCCTGAATAACTGCAGAAGTCTGACTGAGCGCTGCTGTGCAGTGCAGTGAGGCCTTCAATATCCAAAGATGAATCCACTGAATCAGCCAGACGCTAAACAGCTCTCTAGCTCCGCAGCGATTCGCTTACCTCTTATCTCCAGCGCAGAGCAGAGCTCACACAGATCCGGGATTGTGTGTGTGCGTCCACGGCTTCAGCAGAGTATCATGTTCTGAGCCCAGCTTCACGCTTCATAATGCGGCTCATTCAGCGTGTCTGAACGGCAAACTCCAGCAGTGTGTGCCAGATATTCGGAGGAAAAGCTGAGCGCATTTGATTCTCACCCAAACACACAATAAAACCAGACTTCCATCTCCTGCGGCCGCGGAAAACCTGCTTTCTGCTCCTGTTTCCCAGAGGCCTCTGGGGCAGCGATGAGGAGAACAATAGCGTTCTGTGAGGAACTTTATCAGAGACGTATACCTTACACACCGCTCTGGTTCTGATGGGGTTTCTAGAGCCGATGGCTCCCACTATCCATGATGACGAATGAAAGGTAAAACGTTCATGAAACACTAACATTATGTGTTAAAAACACTCAGGATCAGCAGCAGAACACATGAGAACGAATCTGTTTAAAGTGGTAATCCACCCAGAAGTGAGCAATCAGTCATCATTTGCATGTCGTTCCAAACCTGTATGATAACATAAAAGTGTGTGTGTGTGTGTGTGTGTGTGTGTGTGTGTGTGTGTGTGAGAGAGAGTGTGTGTGTGTGAGTGTGTGTGTGTGTGTGTGTGTGAGAGAGTGTGTGTGTGTGTGTGAGTGTGTGTGTGACTGTGTGTGACTGTGTGTGAGTGTGTGTGACTGTGAGTGTGTGTGTGACTGTGTGTGACTGTGTGAGTGTGTGCGTGACTGTGTGTGTGTGAGAGTGAGTGAGTGTGAGTGAGTGTGTGTGTGTGTGTGTGTGTGTGAGAGTGAGTGTGAGTGTGTGTGTGTGTGTGACTGTGTGTGACTGTGTGAGTGTGTGCGTGACTGTGTGTGTGTGAGAGTGAGTGAGTGTGAGTGAGTGTGTGTGTGTGTGTGTGTGTGTGAGAGTGAGTGTGAGTGTGTGTGTGTGTGTGACTGTGTGTGACTGTGTGAGTGTGTGCGTGACTGTGTGTGTGTGAGAGTGAGTGAGTGTGAGTGAGTGTGTGTGTGTGTGTGTGTGTGTGAGAGTGAGTGTGAGTGTGTGTGTGTGTGTGACTGTGTGTGACTGTGTGAGTGTGTGCGTGACTGTGTGTGTGTGAGAGTGAGTGAGTGTGAGTGAGTGTGTGTGTGTGTGTGTGAGAGAGAGAGTCAAGCGGCAACCTCTCGCTCTCTCTCGTGAAACCAACACGGAAGTAACTAAACCTGTAATTCATCGACTGGCCGCTAGAGGCTGGCTCCAAAAGAGAG